ACATGATGTTAATTTTTCAAACATGAAAAATTTTCGCAAATAGAATAAAGCGATCATCCCTTCGGGAGGATGTACGTAATCAGGAACCACTGCATCAGATTCCGCTGCCACCCCGGGCTTGGTTGACGCCTTGTTGTCTGTGACACGGGCCAGGTCCTGGTCGATTCCAGAAACCACGATTTTCGCGAGGGACCGCTGTTCAAAGCACATAGAAGAAAATCTCCAGGCTTTCGGTTTGGCTACCGCCAGCAAATGCAGTCCGAATTCGTACGGTGTCCAAACATCGCAAACATCACTGTCCTGAAAGGCCGGAGGAAGCTTCGAAACCACCAGCTCATGAGGAGGCCTGCAGGAGTTGGCAGGAAATGCCAACTCGCATTTGGCCGCATGACCGGCGCTAGGATGCTTCAGCCAGGCGTAGAACATCCGAAGCGGTCTCTTGGTACCTGCGCACGCCGCGGGCAAGTGGCTGGGCTACAGGCTATGTCGCTGGGAGGATTGTTTAAGATGATGTCATGATGTCACAATGATGTCAGCAGGGTATGTCATGCGGTCATGCGAGCCATTGGCAATTGGGCCGTTCACGCTACTCCAGTCATGCGACTGTGAGACAGTCAGAGGACCGTACAAAAGATACAATCTGACACGGTCTATTTTGTAGTCTAGTCTATACCGTCTATATTATAATATAATAATACAATACTATAATAATATAATCCTCTACACTGTCCATACTATGCGTCTATAAGTGCGGCTATACGGTATACGGTATACGGTATACGGTCTATACGTGCAAACGGTCTATAGAGTCTGTCGATACTACACGGTCTATACGAGACTATGCCGATGCCTATGCCGCTGCCTACACAGCCTACGCCTATGCTGCCTATGCCTATAGCCTATAGCCGATGATGTGCAGCCGGCCTTATACATATACAGTATGTATTATCATTTTCTTCTTTATCATTATACTATATTATTTACTTATTTAATATATATATATATATATATATAATGTATATATTATACAACTATACAACTATAGACTGACTATACATAATTACAAATTAGAATGATACACAGCCTATGCCTATACAGTAGCCTATACCTATACCTATACCGCCTATATTATACCTATACGCCTGCCTATACCTATACAGTATTTATACAGCTATATTATGTAAGTTGTATATATATATATATATATATATTATATGTTATACCGTTATACAGTTATACTAAGTTATACCTCACAGGCCGCAGGCCTGTGCTGCAGGCCGCATGCCCATTGCACGCATGCTGCACGCAAGTCCTATGACACACTGATAGCCTGATACCCTGATGGCACTGATACACAGATAAACACGGATACCTTGTTCCAGGGTACACGGGTATATGCTTTGGTTTAGGGTTTAGGGTGATATGATACAGGGATCTAGTGATTCATACCAAGGTCCATAGTTTATGTGTATTAAATTATATTATTATTATTATTATCTATTATTCTTATTATTATGTTACTCAATGTCAACTTCTACAGTGTACAGAACAAGTGCTTGGGCTTGTCCGAGCCTAGGATTGCCTTTGCGTAGACGACAACCTTGGTCCTGCCCGGGATCTGTGCCTCACAGCGCAGCACGCACGGCTCTTTGGGAAAAGCCTGGATAAAAGAATTCACATCGTCGATTCTGGCCGCATCTTTCGTAGCACACAGACCCGCATGCTTCATATGACATGGCATTGCCTCGCATCGAGAAGCCAGAATGGCGTTGGCCTGCTGTCCTTCAGCTGAAATTTCCGGCGCCACCAGGATTTTGCAGGCCAAGCTAGCCGCATCCATGGAATGGTAGTACCACCCTTTGTTGCGCACTTTGTCCACTAACATCTTGCAGCTTTCGTCCTCCATGAAAGCGGGGTCGGACAATTTGGCCAGACCTGAGGCCCGGGAGCTAAATGGCCGGAGGAAGTCATCCAGGAAGCTTTGTCGCAGAGGGTAGTCATTGTCCCCGACATGCCAGGCAGTGGCGAAAGCAACATGTTTCTTTTCTTCCAGCATAGCTTGCTCGGCACGCCTCCTTTGCTGGACTTGCAGTACCTGCCGGGACTTCCACATGAGCTGCCTGTTGACGTCCATGTTTTTCCACGTCTGTAAAATCTCTGCTTTTGGCTGCCGGTTGCCCTTCTGGCGCTCTGCTGCAAAATAAGTAAAGAATGCATGTCCTTGCTGTTGTGGACGCTTGTGAATGATCTTTTTCACTCGGGCAATCTTCACCGACCGCTGCACTGACTTTGGGGCTAGATCCAGATTCCTTCCGCCACGGCGGACGTAAGATTCTGCCAGCCTCTTCACAACAAACCCAGCAGCCTGTGAGTGCTGTCGTGCCGAAGGGCCTTTGCTCCCAGAAGCAATTTTTCTCTGGAGACTGTGACTCACCTCTTCTTGCAAAGAGCATCCCCTCATGCTGCGCAAGAACGCGGACATGTGCAAGGCAAAGCAGGCAAGGCGATCAGTCTCAGGCAAAGCCAGAAGCTGCTCACGCACAGGTCGTGCAAAATTTGGCTCGCAACAGCACGGATTCATACTGCACAGCTTTTGGCAGTGACGGGCCATCATGACGAAGGACACATCATCGTCCACATCGCCGTCCTTCACAGGCAGAGAACCATTCTCGGTCAAGTACCGCTGCAACTCAATTGCTGAAAACGGCGGCTCTGCGACCCTGGACAAAACTCTCCATTTCAGCGCAGCGATGTGTGCAAGGATGTCGTTGGACAAGCACTTGTGCATTGAGGAAAGTGGTTCGGCTTCCGGCCAAAATGTCATGGCAATTTGAAAAATGTCTGTCTCTCCAAGCAAGCCCCGCCATAAGCGATCAATGGCTGCACCAACAACCGCAGGCAACCGACCAAAATTTCCCTCTGAAGAATCGTCTTGAGTTGCTGGTGGTCCGGGTGCAGCAGGGGCTTTGAAGTGGAGGCGCCGACGTTTCTTTATTTCGGAAGATTTGCTGGGCCTGTACGTCATTGCAGCATCCACACTCGTCGACCGGAATAGCAAAGATGTCACAGGCGAGCAGATGTGCGCAAGTGTCAGAGTTGACAGGAGGTAATATCGGGTCTTGCTATTCCCCAAAAAGTCTGCTGACTTCTTCTTGCGTGAATTTGCGAGGCGTCTGAAGGCGTCTGCATCATTGGCCTCGTTGATATCCTCCAAAGCAGGTTCTGCTCGAACTCCTGGGCCCTCCTCCTGACACTGCGGGTGAGCTTACAACGGCTGCATACCATACTTTTGCATATCCCTGCGTACCATATAAACGAGAGACGAGAGCCACAGAAACATTACATGCAATTGGCACTCTTTGTGTCGCCTGTCTGTCAAGGGCATCAGTGCATCAAGAAATCCGTTTACATTTAAGTCTTTGATGAAAGATACATAAATCCAACATGCCGCAACATGCCACATGTCACATGCCCTGAAAATAATTGAATCTCACTATTTATAGGTTTACGGTTTATAACTTATAACTTATAACTTATAACTTACAACTATTTATACCGTATACCGTATATTCTATTCCGCGCTACACAATCAGGGGAAAGCAAACTCGCCTGGGTATGTAAAACATTCGCCGCTTGAAAAGCAACGGCACCGATGTTGTGCAGCACGAGGAAGCGTGTCCAGGAAGACAAACATGGCAAAACAAGCTGCCACCGAGAGGGTTGGAAGATGTCAGAGGGCCCCATGTAGAACGCGTTCTGCAGTAAAGCAAAGGCCTGCCCGAGGCAGGAGTACAGCTGAGGCTAGTAAACCGTAGAAAGAAAGGTAGACATTAGGCCAGGTAATGTCATGATACTGTGATACCGTGACACAGATACAGTGATACTCTATACTGTAGACTGCCTACAGGCTACAGTCTAGAGTCGTTTTGCGTCGGACAAAGCGTAGAGAAATCTTTCATACTACAACAATCCCATTCAGAGTGACATTATTGCATTAATTGGGGCATCAGACAAACAAAACAGATTGTCTGATCCGCGCTAAGGCTATAGGCTATAGTTAAAACAGACAGTCCAGAGGACCTGCAGCCAGTCTTTACAACGAACTCGGCACGACAAGGATGAGGACTAGTTAAGTCCAGGTTTCAGAACCAGACAGCCACAGACACATGACACACTCCCGGCATTTCCAACCCAAAGCCCACCAAAGCCTGTACCCCTTTTAGTGCTACAGGACACATGTCATGCGGGGACATACAGTTCTACACACTCAATCGATCAATCTCCAATCTGGGCAATGCTGAACAAAAATCACAAATCTAATATGGTGTGGACAGAAGGCATGTGGCATGCTAGCCAACGCCTTGTTCAGCGAAGCCTGCTTGTTGGCGCAACACGTCTTACCACTGCAGTAGTGGGTCCACTTATCCTCCTCCAAGAGGTTGCCGTTGAAGAATTGGAAAACATCAAAATTGTTCTGTTGATGCTGCGAGCCTGGATCCTCCTGCCACGAACATAAGAGAATCTGAAGCAGCAATGTCCTGAACTCGCCCGAAGAGGTCGGCGAGTCTGGCGGAGCACCCAGCTCAAAACGGAAGCGATCCTGTAGAAGCTCTTTCAAGGCACTAGAGGTCCTCTCTCGGAGCACCGACTGCTGGCACAGGCGACTTATGGCTGCTGACAAGGATTGCTGGAGGAGGTCTTGTTTGCGTGAGAGGCTCAAGTCGACTATGCGCGACATTTGATGTAGTAGGCACGGGGAGAATGAGGACGTCAAGATCACTCCCGCCTGTTTGGCCAGGTCGCGAAGATATTTCTGAAAATGCCGAAGGTATCTCAGGTTGGGCGCAGCAGAGTCTGCAGTGACACTGATATGCAGAACCTTGTAGTTCTGGGCGACCGCTCTCATAAACGTATCCCAATGCGTTCCGAGCAAATACTCCTGGAAGCTATGCGCCAGCCCCGAAGCAATCTGTGAGGCGGTGGTTTGTTTCAACCGGACAGGCGGAAAAATGAGTTCGTGAACTTCGTATTTTTGGTCTGGCCTCGCCCAGCCAACCATGCCAGTGCAAACGAGATTGTGTATGAGTTCGTGCCGGCCAGCGGGTCTGTCGGCACGGCGTCTGTGTCCCATCTCCAAAACTGGCCTCGCATGCAACACTAACAGCAGAGCAACGCTGGCACGGAGTCACCGGAAAAGTGATCTCAGGCTATAACTAACTAATCTACAAGAAACCTTCTGAGTAACTTAAGTACTCATTATTCTCTTGTGCGAAACACATC